AACGGCGCGGCTGTTGTCACGGTAGTCACGGTCACAGCGATAACGGCGCGGCTGTTGTCACGGTAGTCACGGTCACAGCGATAACGGCGCGGCTGTTGTCACGGTAGTCACGGTCACAGCGATAACGGCGCGGCTGTTGTCACGGTAGTCACGGTCACAGCGATAACGGCGCGGCTGTTGTCACGGTAGTCACGGTCACAGCGATAACGGCGCGGCTGTTGTCACGGTAGTCACGGTCACAGCGATAACGGCGCGGCTGTTGTCACGGTAGTCACGGTCACAGCGATAACGGCGCGGCTGTTGTCACGGTAGTCACGGTCACAGCGATAACGGCGCGGCTGTTGTCACGGTAGTCACGGTCACAGCGATAACGGCGCGGCTGTTGTCACGGTAGTCACGGTCACAGCGATAACGGCGCGGCTGTTGTCACGGTAGTCACGGTCACAGCGATAACGGCGCGGCTGTTGTCACGGTAGTCACGGTCACAGCGATAACGGCGCGGCTGTTGTCACGGTAGTCACGGTCACAGCGATAACGGCGCGGCTGTTGTCACGGTAGTCACGGTCACAGCGATAACGGCGCGGCTGTTGTCACGGTAGTCACGGTCACAGCGATAACGGCGCGGCTGTTGTCACGGTAGTCACGGTCACAGCGATAACGGCGCGGCTGTTGTCACGGTAGTCACGGTCACAGCGATAACGGCGCGGCTGTTGTCACGGTAGTCACGGTCACAGCGATAACGGCGCGGCTGTTGTCACGGTAGTCACGGTCACNGCTGCTGGTGAGGTCACGTACAGCTGCTGGTGAGGTCACGTACAGCTGCTGGTGAGGTCACGAAAAATTAAGAATTAATCATTAATAATTAATTAGTTAATTTAATTATTAAACATTAAAATAATAATAATTAATAGAATTAAGCTTCTTATTATTTTACACTTAAAAAACACTTGCCTTCATAAAGATGCATTCAAAATATGCTGTCATCAAAACATTTCCATTAATATATTTCATATTGATATTTGGTCTAACTACATTTACACTTTTTTAACTAGACAACATTGACCAGATAGTAATTGTTTTATTCGTGTATGATATATGATAATGTGTCTATAACACTTTAGATAATATACATGATAATATACATGATAGCAGATATGTCGATAGCACTCTAGATAATGTTGATGGTCGCACTTCCCCTCGCGCCTGCACCAATGAGAGCGCAGCTCAGCGTGACGACGCCCGTGACGTCACTCCCTCAACAGCCAATCAGCGAACTGATCTTTTCGTTGCCACATTCACGCCCGTGACGTCACTCCCGCAGCAGCCAATCAGCGAACTGATCTTTTCGTTGCCACATTCACGCCCGTGACGTCACTCCCGCAGCAGCCAATCAGCGAACTGATCTTTTCGTTGCCACATTCACGCCCGTGACGTCACTCCCGCAGCAGCCAATCAGCGAACTGATCTTTTCGTTGCCACATTCACGCCCGTGACGTCACTCCCGCAGCAGCCAATCAGCGAACTGATCTTTTCGTTGCCACATTCACGCCCGTGACGTCACTCCCGCAGCAGCCAATCAGCGAACTGATCTTTTCGTTGCCACATTCACGCCCGTGACGTCACTCCCGCAGCAGCCAATCAGCGAACTGATCTTTTCGTTGCCACATTCACGCCCGTGACGTCACTCCCGCAGCAGCCAATCAGCGAACTGATCTTTTCGTTGCCACATTCNTGAGAATAAATTAGAAATCCATTGTACATGTGCGACATCAGAGACACTGGCTCCTTCAGAAGTGTTGTCTTTATAAAGTAATTTTTAAACGCATAGTTTATTCCTAGTGATGCTACCGATGGCGCGATAACATTTGATGGATAGAAGACAATCGTCGCGCTTAGGAAAATCTCTCATAAAGTGTGAGCAGTTACTCGTGTTTTCCAGTTCAATAATAATTTAATGGTTAGTTTCACTAAATTGTTCTCTTAAAATCCTATCTCTGAAAATATTATTTGGATGAGATAAAATTTAAACAGGTATTTTGATGGAAAAACAAATAGTGTACGACAGTATAGTATAGCATAAGATTGTATAGTATATTATACGCAGAGCTGGGCAGCGCTACTTTGAAATGTAGCGGCCGCTACCGCTACATGCTCCAAATGTAGCGGGCGCTACCGCTACCGTTACACCCACTAGATTGTAGCGAGCGCTACCGCTACAGTAAAATGTAGCGCCGCTACAATGGCCAAAATTATTGGAAATCTCTAAATATTTATTGTTCTGCTATTGGGATTTACTCATAAACATTTAATGATAATAAAACATTTTCAAAACATATCAATGCAACTCTACTGCAATTAACCTAACCGAACTAGTACGGGTTAGATACAGTAAATAAAAGTTACAGTTATTTTTATGCTTTACCTTCCCTACATGGATGTCTACTTTAATCTACCAATCTCAAAAATTATCCACATATACATATAAAAAATCAGTCTTTTATTTGTATATATATGTGGATTATTTTTGAGATTGCATGGTAAATTAAAGTAGACATCAATGTAGGGAAGGTGAAAGATAAAAATAGCTGTGTAAAAATAACTGTAAGCAAACTGAAAAATGAAAAAAAAACCTGTGAGTGGTAACTGGTAACAACTTAACCCATTAACGCCCAAATTTTTGATTTGTGAAATTTCCATCTAAACACCTTCATATGGTGCAAATATGTCACATAAAACAGTTTCTGCACAATTTTAGAGGATATAATGAGAGGAGCAGTAGTTTAAAGAAAAAGTCCCAAATGGGGATCATGGGCAAAAGGGTAATAAAAATACCAATTATTTTTCGCAACGGTTCTTATTATTATTTCCAAACTTATGAAGCAAGTATGTGTTATTAGTGCTTATTTCTAATGCTAAATGCACAATCCTTTATTTGTAACCACAAAATTAATGAGATTACATGAAGAAACACTGCTCCTTTCAAACTAAATATATGAAAGTAATAACTACCCTCAAAATTAGAGGAATTTCACTGATGCCATTCAGGGAAGCTTTCAACGTGTAGCCCAACATTGGACTTGGTTCATTCTTTTCTGACATTTATTTTGTAAACGATGCACTTCGATCCATTGTCTTTCACCATCTGTTTGCTGCAGAACGTGCCCTAAATTACTTCTTCATATGTCGTCTACCACTCATCGCTTTGATTGCTTACTGAATGATGGGCGACCTGACTTCTTAGGATCTGACAAAGATGAGACTTGCACATATACCCTTAATATTCTCCTCTTGAATTCCATCAAGGGCATTTGTCCGTTTGCCATGTAAAACAGAATGTGTGCATTTATGACTCTCGTGTCAAGAAAGTTTGTGATAAGTGAAAAATACCATTTCTTTCCACGAACTTTGATCCTGTATATATTGATGAGCCAATCTATTTTATTCACACCACCCATGTACTTGTAGTCGGCGATGGACTTCGGTTGTTCTAATGAGACCTGGTCCTTCTCCTGCATGCTCTATCTTTTCACTTTTTCAGTCGGCTCTACACCTTGGTGATTTGACAACATCTTGANCTGTCTCTTATACACATCTAGATGTGTATAAGAGACAGTAATATAGCAGTGCGCTGTAGCGGCAAAACCTCGTATCGCTACTTAAATATGTTGCGGGCGCTACCGCTACCGCTACATTGCCTTAAATGTAGCGCCGCTACTGAAAATGTAGCGCGCTACTGCCCACCTCTGAGTATGCGATAGTATAGAACATTATATTGCAGTACAATACAGTACAGATTGCATAGTATCGGACAGTATCGTACAGTATAGTACAGTTTAGTACAGTACTATAGAGTATTGTACAATATTGGACAGTATTGTATTGTATTTTACAGTGTTGTACAGCGCTCTACAGCATCGTACAGCACTGTACAGCATCGTACTGCACTGTACAGCATTGTACAGTACTGTACTGTATTGTACTGCATTATACAGCACTGTACAGCACTTACAGTACTCTACAGCATTGTACGGCACTCTACAGTACTCTACAGCATTGTGCAGCACTATACAGTACTTTACAGCATTTTATAGTATTGTACTGTATTAGCACCCTGGCAGGGTGGAAATTGTGGAATTATGCAGTAATTTCCGTAGAGTTAATATATAAAAGGGTGCACATATTTACGATAAAAATACAAAAAAAAACTAGACCAGGGCCCCTGGCTGTATTGAACTAAAATATATGAACCTTCATCCCTAGAATTCCACCCTTCTAAATGATTCAGTAGTACCATCGCTATCATTACATCATTAAAATAAAGATAAGAAACATCTAAATGAAAACTGAAATATTTTGGCTCAAAAGTTGTATATTTTAGATAAATCTCGTGGCTCAATAAGCAGTTTTATTTAGATTAGAGGTAATACGTCATCTATCTGGTCCCTAAACAAATTTTTCTGGACTGATCATCATCAAAATTCCAGAGCCATCCTGGAAAATGGGACAAAAGCCACCCGGGAATGAGACAAAAATGCCTGGGTTTGTGTTTAATTTAACCCAATTGGGTCTGTGCCTAATCTCTGTTATAAAAAAATAGAAAAATTGCCCAGTTTTACCTGATATTTTGAAAATTGCCCATATAGCAATAGTTTTACCCACAATTTTTGTAAAAAATTCTACCTGATATTTCTAATTGGCCAGTAGCCAACTATTCCAACTGTGCTGCCAACCTTTAGACTGGGCTGACCCCATCAATATAAACTCAGATCATCTATATATCGTAAGATAAATATATATCTTAGAACTTTTCAGCCAAATGAAATTTTCATTTCAGTCATTTTCTATTTCTGCTAAAATATTTAATTCCATGCTTAAAAAGCTTCTCCTGTGTTGCAAATTATATAAAACTAAACCATTTTGTAATTCTTATGTTGCAGATATAATTTTGCCTATTTCAGTTCGCAGCTTATAGTATATCGTAGAAAAATCCAACGCACATCCACACAAAAAAATATTAATAGTTTGAAACATCACGAGAACTTAAACAATTTGCTTCACATAATTATATGCAGGGAGACCAGCTGCACATGCTTGCCAGTAGAAATGGCTGGAATTACACAGAACATCTCATTAGTTCCTGGAATTGAGCTTTCACCTCAGGAAGCCAACAGATACAAGAACTTTTTTGCCGTCCAAGTTCCCATGTGTGAAGTTTTCAGAGCCGTACTAAAGTGGGAATGCAGCGACAAGCAGCAAGGGCAGACTTATGCCGATTATTTTGAAGAAAAAGTGGAGCTCTATGAATCCAAACATGAATATTTGAAGAATCTTCTTGGAGTCAAGTTTAAAACGCCTAAAGTTACACTGTCAGCTAACGATATAAAAATGCTTCGGGAAAACTCTTCAAAATATGATGTAAGTCTCATGTTTTTATTTTTGTGCGAGATCTTCAAATCCAAAGAAACACACACAAACGTTCTCCAGGCGAGAGTTCCTAACCAACTAGAATGCCTGCTAAAAACGGCCAAAAACCACAGGAATGATGTAGTGCATAAAGAGGACTCTGCTGTGGACCCTTATAAATTTGATGAAATTTTCAAAGCCCTGCATGATGTGATAGATGAAGCTGGCAACGTGTACAGCATCCCAGCTGATGAAGTAACGAGTTTCAAAACCCAGGTAGATGGCATGTGGGATGAAGTGCGCACAGATAATGAAAAAGCTAAGGCTTATTGTTGCTTCTTCCTGCAAACTTATGGAAACAAAGAAGCCAAAGTCATGTGGGAAGCGATGTTGTCTGAAGAAACTCTGCTCTTCGGCGATGAAAACGTTGAACGCTCGAAAGTTTTTCATTCCCTGGAATTTACACTACAGAAACCTAAAGATCAACCCAAAGACAAGATCTCCTACACTGAACTCCTAACTGGCAGCGAAAAGTTCGTTGTGGTCATTGGCGACTCCGGGTCTGGGAAATCCACTTTGGCCAAGAACTTGGTGATCCAGCACTATGGTATCTCAGATGCAGAGGTAGAAATTGCCAATCTGAAGAATCACAATTTGTTACTTTATTATGAATGCAGGAATGTTTCCACAAAAGAATTTACTGATGTAGTAGACGAAAACTTCGAAAATGTGTGCCAGAAACTAGGCCCTGAAACTGTTATCCAAGGAATCACCGAGTCTAACCCTTTGATTCTCATTGATGGCTATGATGAATGTCATAAAGACTCGTATAAGGTTGTGCAACAGATGGTGAACAAAATGAGGAAACATGAGTGTCGTGTGATCATCACCACCAGGCCAAGTGCTGCCGATGAGCTCAAGGACTTTCTGAAGCGAGAAGGTGTGAAATTCCATGAGTGTGAGATAGCAGAAATTCGTGATTTAGATGACCAACTAAGATTTCTGGATAAGTATGAAAAACATGTCACTCCATATGCTGAGAATGTTGTAAAGAGCTTCAGCTCTCTTGGACGGGACATTCAAGAACTTTTTGTTCGTCCCATTAATTTGGTTCTCTTTTGTCACCTGGTCTGGAACTTTCCTGAAAGGATAAATGATTGGAAATCTCATGCTGCTGTAGCTCAAGTCACACATGATCTGTATGAGAGAATTATTCAGTCAAAGCTGGCTGCCTACTCCATTGTTGACAAGGCTGGCCTTATCGATGCTTTCTTCCAAGACTTGGGCAATTTCGCCTTGAAGATGATTTGCGAACATCATTTGGTTTTCTCTGCAAATGAAGTTGTCGATTTGAGACGCAGTATCAGGTCAAAACTCAGAGAATATGGGGCGCTTGGGACGCTTGATCCTAATGCTCTTCTGGGTGTTGTCTTGAAAATAAAACGTTCAAGTAAAAATTCTAAATCGGGCACATTTTTCTTTCATCACAAGAGCATACAAGAACTCTTTGCTTCCAAGCCTGTCTTAATGGAGCTCCGTAAGAATAATGCCTTGCCGCCCATCCTGACGTCATATAAAGTAGAAAGTTTCAAGTAAGTTTTCTGTCGAAAAAGATTCAATTGAGTTTCTTAAAGTTATCTTTGAGATAGAACTCCAGGGCGGTCGTCGTTAGAGAATTCAATCATATTTTTATTAGGCCTGATTCCACCTACGTTTAACAGGGCTAAATTTCCTAAGTAATAATTTTTATAAAGAGACCTAGTTAATTTAGGTCTTCCTACATTATTTTGACCTAATTAATGAGTGTCTCACTGTTCATATTATCTTCCGATGCTGTTTGCACTGCAGGAAAAATTACTTTTCACAATTACAATATTAGCTTAACAATCACAGTAGCTGCACTTACAATGTTTCTATATTAAGTTCAAATGATTCCAGGTAAATTTTGGCATGAATGTGAATATTAATATTTTTCATGTGATTTGGATATTAATAATCAACATGAATGTTGATTTACTAATCAATAATACAATTAGCCTCGCAGAAGTGCTCACGTATGTGTTCATGGGGCTGAGTGCTGCTGAGGAGTCCACTGTCTTCTGGAAAAACTGGCCGCTCCTGCGTGATGCTATTGGAGGCGGTAACACGGACATGTATTGCTGGGATAAAATCTTGCTGAACTGTCATGACTCGCAACATATTGCTGAAGCGATTGCCGGAGTCTGCTTGGCACACAGCAGCAATTGGACCATGACCATTGATAAAGGTAGTGTGTTTCATGAGTACCTCTAGTGTTTGAGAGCTTTTACTTCTAACATAACATAACATAACATAACATAACATAACATAACATAACATAACATAACATAACATAACATAACATAACATAACATAACATAACATAACATAACATCTGTCTCTTATACACATCTAGATGTGTATAAGAGACAGACATAACATAACATAACATAACATAACATAACATAACGTAACATAACATAACATAACATAACATAACATAACATAACATAACATAACAAAACATAGTGATGTCGGCGCTAAAAAGTAGGCCTGATGTGGCCTGTCGCCGATTCTTGAACTTTTCGTGACTTGTTCACAGAAGATCTAAAATCGTGTCATGTGACCGGATCTTTTCACGACTGACGATAGTTTGAAATAGCTACTAGACTTCCATCGGGTTCGACATGGTGCTAGGCATTTCAAGTCTGAACAAATATTTTTCCATAGCTTTATCTAGTGTGTTCTTGAATGCGCTCATACTCGGAGCGTCAACGATGTAATCAGGGAGGCTGTTCCACATGTCGGTGATTCGAAGCGAGAAGAAATGTTGTCGCGTGGACAAGTTGCAGCGCAGTTTTTTTAGTTTATAGCCGTGGCCCCTGGTGTTGCTTTTGTTTCAAATTCTAGTAATCCTTCTGGGACCTTGTATAAACCATGAGTACACTTGTATACTTCAATGAGGTCCCCACGCAGACGTCCATAACTGAGGCTTGGAAGCTTCATAATCTTCAATCTTTCTTCATAGGACTTGCCCTTCAAGCCTGGAATTATCCTTGTTGCACGTCTTTGAACATTCTCTATTAAATTTTTGTCCTTTTCAAATCTCGGTGACCACACAACGTTTCCAAACTCTAGATTCGGACGCACGACAGCAACAAACAACTGCTTCATCGCTTCTGCATCTAGGAACTCGTATGAGCGTCTGATTAGACCAAGAAGTTTGTTGGATGTATTAGCTTTCGTTTCAACGAGCTTAGAAAATTTCAGCTCCTTGTCGACACAAACTCCGAGATCTTTTTCCACACTAGAGTTCTCAATCATTACTCTCTCGTTGTAACCATGTCTTCTCATACTGTAATCTTGCTGTTCATTGTTCTTCCCGAAGTGAAGTACTTTACACTTGTCAGCGTTAAAACGCAGCTGCCACGTATCAGCCCAGTCGACTAAACTATTAAGATCATCTTGTAATTTCACTTTATTTAACGCATCCTCAACTGTATTATAAACTTTTTGTGTCATCGTCATACATGGAGCACACGTTTGACACTACTTCTGGCAGATCGTTCATAAAAGCAACGAACAAAACAAGTCCACGAACGTTTCCTTGTGGCACTCCGCTGCCCACTGATGCCGTCTGATACGGTTCCGTTAATACTGACACGTTGTCGTCTACCAATTTGAAAATCTCTGATCCAATGGAGTGTTTTCCCTTTATAAAATCCCTGATCTAATGCAGTACATTTCCCATTATTCCCAGAGACTTCACTTTACGCAACAGCCGCTCATGCGGAACACTGTCAAATGCAAAATCGAGGTACTATGCATCCATTGGCTCCCTTTCGTTCAGCAGGCGAAGACAATCGCAAAACCGTCATTAAAGTTTGTGTGCCAATCTGATTCACTATGGTTGTTTCTTGATGGTTGTATACCGGTCATGTTGCCTCCCAGGAGGACACTAAAGTCTCATACACAATAAAATCTGATACATTGAAGAAATTTTACTTTCCCTCAATATATGCGCCCTTTCATCTGTGGATCTGCCTTTACTGCTGAATTCCCACACTTCCCAAAGACTATTTGGCAACTTGAAGAACATTTGGCAAAGACCATTTGGCAATTTTTTCTTCATTATGTCCAAGATAAACAAGAAGATGTAAACTGAAATGAATGTTTTATAGGATTAAGCAACAGAAAATAAAAGATAAATCAGGCAATAATTATAAGATAATCTAATGATATGATACTTATTTATATACATAATACTTAAATGTAAATTCGTATAGGTTGGCAGAATTTGTTTATTGAAGCAGGTTTCATCGAAGACCGGATAATTTGTTTTATTGAACGTTTTCTTATTAGTTATTTGAATATATCGAACAATATTTTTCGTTTGCACTGGTAAATCAAAAATCAGAGTACCGATGGACATTTTTATTTCGTTAACGATGTTTCGAATGTATTAATCATTCATTATCGACTTACCAGACGCACTGAGTGATGAAATTTTGATCAAGATAAGTACAAAATCATGTAAATAGGTTTGTAATCAATAATCAATTTGGTTAGAAAAAAAATTGCCAAATCCCGAATATATGAAGAAAACCAATATCGCAAGCACCAAAATCACTCCGAAAACAATTTCAAGGTTCTGACAAATCCAGTAGTTTGAAGGTTGATGGCTGGTGTCCTAGCCTTCACGATGAGGGCCTCAGCTATCGCGAGTCGGTTGGCGTCGGGGCATCTCATGACGACGCTGGTGCATTCTTCCAGCACCGTACGAGTGATGGTCTCGTTGTGGGCTTCCATCAGGTGGTTCCTTTGTCCACCAGACGAAAGTGGCACGCGAGACGTCGGCTCTTTTTTACTCCCTCTGGGTAACTTTTCCTCGAACCATCGGAGTAACGACTTTTCTTCAATAAATAAATAAATAAATAAATGTCGTAGTTGTAGGCCTAATGTAGTCCATATTAGGGAGAATTCTACGACCTTCTCTATTGTAGAAAAATTTATTGACTACATTGGTCTCTTGGAAAATTCACGTTTTCTGCAGGGGTAATTGTTCATTATAAGATTCTGCATTTTCTTGTTTTTATAATACATCAGTAGTTTAATTTTATTGTTAGTTACGCTTACGATGTTGTTGTGAACTATGGATTGAAGAATCTGTCCATCTGCTTTATAAACGCTGGTCATTTGATTCTCGTAGTAGACGTTGTGACGTTTGCGTTCGTCTCTGGTTCGTTGTTGAGTCTGTTTTGGGTCAATCGGTGTATTGAGATTTCGGTGTCGATGGTTCTATTGGCAAACCCATTATTGACTAAGATTCTTTCGCGTTTTTTCATCTCCACATCTAAATACTTCTCAGACGAGTAGGTTTTGAGAGCTCGTTGGATGAGAGCACGTATTGTACTTCTTTTGTAGCACTCTTGGCATTCGCTGGTGGCGTTTAGGACTCCCTACATAGTTGGTTTCCGTTGTACACCAGAGTATATCGGAAACCAACAGATTTCGGGAGACTCCTGTGGCTTGGAGGCCACTGTGTTGATGCCACTGCACTGCTGCTGCCCTACCAACAGCCGGCCTCGCTCAGCGTCAGGCTTTTGGACGCCCCAGCGCCCGAGTCCTGGCGCGAGGTGGCTAGGACATTCAAAGGAATTCTTGAGCTGCGACTATTAAAGGACCACGAACCGCGCCGTCCGTGTGACCACATGCTTGAAGCCTTGAACTCCTCGAGGTGCATCAGGGAGGATTATTTATCATATTATTATATATTAATAATATATATATTACTGAATTATTATATTTCTTACTACCATTTTTGTACATTTAAAGCACTGAACTTGTGACCCTCTTGAGCCTAGAGGTATATATATGTATATAATTCATATATATTATATTGCCGTGCAGCTGCTCGTTGTCATTGTTTGCTGGCTGTATCAAGGATACGAAGAGCATCCAATCCTTGGCCAAAGTCGCGACGCCCAACTCAGACTTCTTGATTGTCACGGAGCCGCACGTTGACTTGACGCCCCTGCAGCACAAGCACCAGGAGCTTTGTGAGTGTGAATAGATCCATAGATCCTTGTCAATAGATAAAATCCGTAGAATAATAATTAACATTTTACCTATATAGAGTAAATATGCTTAGTTTTAAGTGTTTGTGATGTGACAGAATTTACTTCGAAAAAATCTTAATTTTAAGGCAACATAGGCCCAAGTACATGAAGAGTCAGAGAATGAATCTGTTGTAGCCAATCAGTAGTTTTTAGACCCTTTTAGGTAACTTTAGACCGTAGTACATGAATTGTCAGAGATAAAATTCATTGTATCCAATCAGTTGTTCCCAAACTAAACAGGCCTTAATTACCACCTGTTAATTATTTATTAACCCACTGTGGGTACTGCAAGAGTGGAGAAAGGTGCAAGATGAAAATCAAGATGTCAATACAGCAAATGGTGCTTGGGTCAATCTTAACTCAGTCTGAGAAAACAAGTGTAAAGTAAAGTAATGAAGATAAATTGAAAATGTTAGGCAAGCTCTGCTGTAATTCTCCTTACATAGGAAGGCAATATTTCTAAAAACACCAATTCAAAATAATAAAAAACATATCGCAATCACCATTTCTCCCAACATTAATTTCAAAATACCCTTTCCAAGAACACCTCTTTCACAAACAACTTGTTCATAATCACCCGTTCCACATAAGCCCAGTTCACAATCAACCATTTCAGAAACAACTAATCCGCTAACACCCATTACAAAACCCCCATATTAATTTCTTTTCCTCACAGGGGTGATTGTTAAACCCACATCTGAGGGCGACATCGCTGCCCTGCCCGTGTCTCCCCACATCTTCCTTCTGGTGAAGTCGGTTGCCAAAAATCAGCCAGAGAGTTTGACTCGCACCTTACTTGGCATGGCTCCTACTGACAACAGGTGGTGGTTCCTTACCTTGTATCATGATGATCAGTAATGTCTCATTTGTGGTTCTGTGGGTCCGAAGAATCATTAAGAAAGGTGTGTTAAGACCTGATCTAATGTAATGATCGTCTTATGTCAGGTTGCGGAGGCTGGAGGTGCATAGCTGCGCGTTGACTGTAGCACAGGAGACGCTGGTGGAGCTGCAGCGCGCGGGCCTCAGGACGCTCTTCACGGACCAGCAAATCCACACGGGACCCAGCCGAGTGCTGAGAATAGGGTAAATAAACTGATTTCTTACAACACACAGCGCCGAAATTATTTTGCTGTACTATAGAATGATTATTTTACTTCAAAATCTGTCATCCAAGGAACAGTTGATGGCTGAGGCAGTCGCCAATAGAGGAATGAAGCCATTGTGTTTGTTCACTTGTGTCCCGCCATTTTCGTTATGCTTAAGTAGCGTCTGCAACTGACGGAGGTGGGTGTGAACCAACTAATCAGAACGCTGCAATGAAAAGCCACTTCGACATCACTGATGTTCTGAGTGGTTCAAGCAGGAGCCTGTGGTTCATACCCAACTGACCTGCTAATGAAAATTTCGATAACTAGGGAACACTGTCTGAATAAATCGATGCTGCCAAAATAATATCGAGCCGAGGCAAATGGCAGATTTTAGTATCTAGACCAACAAGCCGGGAAAGTTTTAGATTACCTTCTGATATTTTGTATTTTAAATGATGCACGTCGCACCGGGCAATTGAGGTGATTTAGTTGAATTCAGTAGTAATTCTCACTAGCTCTGGTGTTGAGGTAATAATAGCACCTACATGATGATAAGTTCGGGTAACTTATATGACTTGAGAGGTTCTAATCATAAAAATATGATTTCCATGTCTTCCATGACACGATATATAACGATATAGAGTAACAGTCACTCTGCCTAACAAAGCAATCCTAATGTTTTTTCTCTCCAGTTCCATTACATGCCAACAAAAATATGAAACATTTCCTGTTCTCTGACAGAGAGAAGAATTACGCGCTGATTCTCACTGATGAACCACCGCTGCCACCACAGGCAGAACCCTGCAGGTTGATACGACCAGACTCTGGGAGGAAAATTATAGGAAGAAATTAAATTTATTCTTTGAACCTTGTTTTGCACGTGCTTTGGGTTGGTAATATAGGTCAATAATAATTTGGTTGAATTAAACATATTTCAATATTTAAGTTAAAATAAGTTCTTTAATGAATAACCATAGTTATTTACTCTCTGCATTACTTTAATTTGGGGTAGTTAAATTAAAAGTCAGTATTCTTATTTGGGTGAAGCTGAAAAAATCTGTTACTTTGGTTTCCTGCGATATTACAAGAATTCATAAATTTATAATGCCAATAGTTCTACAGTATAAATTATAAGAAATATATTGCAGGCGTGTCGCATCAGAACCTCCCAGGTCACCCGCCAGTCTCCCCGTTGCCCCCGCCGTCGGTGGAGAGAACCTCTGTCCGCTGGCCTCGTCATGCGGGGACCTGGACGCCGTGTACAAGAGTCTGTACGCCCTGAACGTTGTGCTGCCGCACGCATTGCGCTTTGTACTGGTGAAAGTGTGCGGAGAAAAGCCTCCAAATGTTACTTGCTGGGAATATTGTTTGAAAAGGTACGATCCGAGTGACTTTCCCGAACTCCTCGATAATATGCAGAGCAATCCGCAGGTGATGAACCTTCTGAAAAAATGTGATTGTGAGGAGTTTGATGTACGTTCACTCTATGCTCAGCCTCGAAACCAGCTAATTTGTCTATTTTATAACATTTGGTCAACAATGTGTTGTGGTGGTATTGAAAAAGTTAATCCCGCAATTGAAGATTCAGACTATAAAAACTTGTTCTGCCTTATGATAGAAGTCCAATGGCTTATGAAAAAAGTGTTAGCAAGGCTGATACAGGATCCTCCCGAACTCGTGGGGGTGGCGGACAGGATCACTGAGATCGCATACGAGCTGATCAGCGAGGCCGCTGAGCTGCACCGCGTGCCGGACGCTGAGGCTCAGCGAGTGAAGGAAGCTTGCCAGGCGCTCTGTGATAAATACGCTGATGTGCGCGTTGATGATGACGCTTTTGCTGCGTATAGCGTACTGAAGGAGAACTGGGAGAGGAGAGTCGACGTGGAACTTGAAAATGTATTTGATGAACGGTGTGTCAGTATTTACGAATCCTCATCAGACTGGGTTCACGAACCATTCAGTTCTGTTTATGGCTCAAGAGTAAATCGATATCAATTTGATGAATCATTGAAGCATGCAATCAATGGTAAGTTTCATGGCGTCTTCATCCACTTCAGGTGTCGTGATTCGAAATCCCGCAGTTTTTCTGACGTCATGGAGCAAAACTTTCCTGAAGCCTGCAGCCAAATTGGAGCTCACAACGTTGAATATGATTTTAAACGTCTACATCCTCTGATCCTCGTTGACGGCTACGACGACGCCAACGCCACGTCCAGCGTAGTCGTAGAAGAAATGGTCAACAAATTTCGTGAATTCCCATGCAAGATCGTCATCACTACCAGTCCTGAGGCTGGTTCTTCTCAACGAAATATCTCGGGAAGAGGTGTGGATTTTAGCGAATCGCTAATTCTTCCTTTTGCGCTGAAACTTTTCAGTAATAAAAAGTTCTGTGACTTTCGGGATGCCGTGGCAGATTGGAATTTCATATATTCCTATGATTCCTGAGATTGGGATTGGTAATGTTCTGGGCTTTTTAAATTGAATCCTGTCATGATTTGATGTTTCCCTAACACGAATATCTTTGAACTAAACTTTTTCTGGCACATTTCGATCCAGAATTGTGACGAAAGTTCCACATGAATAGTCATGCCTTACGAATTATTATTAGTATTATTATACGAAGCAGTTCTCATAGTGTCAGGTTCAAACCAACATCGAAGGCACGTTACGCGTAATTTTAATAGCAAGCAAAAAAAAATACTCGAGAAAGTATGAAAACAGATAAAATTGACTAAGCACCTGATTCATAGGCTCTACGAAATGATTCCGTCCTTAGGCGACACTGAAACACCAGCAGCGAAGGAGCCGATGTTACGGAAGCCCGCAGACTGTTCCAGGTTCTGGCGGCGGCGACCGGGAACGCTCTGTCGCCGACGGTAGATAGACGTGTAGATGCAACGACGAGATCCGCTGTTGATTCTACCAGCAGTCTTCTAGAAGGCAGATCCGACACGCGACGCAGACATTCCGAGAGATAAGGAGGAGCCTGACCGTGAAGGCATCGGAACGTCATAACAGCGACCTTTATCTGCGTGCGCTGCTGCTTGCATAGCCAGTAAAGATTGCAAAATATCGGCGTCATGTGGTGTAATTTCCGCTTATTACACACGATTCGCGCAGCAGTGTTCATTTCGGATTGCAATTTATTTAGTGCAGTGGTCAGAAGTCCATGGAGTGTGGCATTACTATAGTTCAATCAATTCAGAACTAGCGCCACCCCGAGGGCCTGACAATACGTATTCGTTGCAAAGCACCAAAACAAGCGGTGGTGACCTTGGCAATATGATTGTTCATAGAAAGTTTCGAGACCACCAGAATTCCCAGGTTACGAACCGAAGACTGAGGCATGACGGACTCATTGCCCATGCGAACTGGGTTGGTTGTGTTGAGCTGGAGCCGGTTGGAGCACATGCAGTGTGAGAAGGCGTCCATTCAAACAGACATCCGCGGTCCTGCAACGCTACAGCGTTAGTCGGCGCTCAGTAACCATAAATTTGGGTGTTGTTGGCGAACATATGCGGATTCAAACCATGAGTTTCAATTATGTCCAACACGTCGACAGTATATAACAGGAAGTCGATTGGGCAGAGAACTGATCCCTATGGTACGCCACAAGTGATTAACGATGGCGTAGAAGAAAAGTTCCCGCGTCAAACGCATTGAAATCTATTTTTGAAATAGGAAACGAGCAACCGCAGCACTGTGCCGCGCAGGCCAAATTATACGTTAATGCGACGCGATAAGGTGGCGTGGTCGATCGTGTCAAATGCGGCAGAGGTCGAGTAAAGCCTGTGCCGCAATGTCGCCGCGGTCTACTGCTTGCAGAATATCTTAGAGCATCTTCAGCACAGCGGTTAACATCGAGTGGAGATGACGGTATGCAGACTGGAAGCGAGGCATGAGACCGGACGGCTGAAGATGGTTGTTCAGCTGCCGCGCCACAACGCGTTCCAAGATTTTCGACGAAATTGACAGGTTGGAGATGGTTCGATATGATTTGGGATCAGAAGCGTCAATGTCTGTTGTTTTAATAGTGACGAAATGTAAGCTAATTTGAAGTTCTTCGAAGCAACTCTTTCAGTGAGGAAGCGGTTTAAAAATTCGACCACAAAAGATGTTAGGGTTACGACATTCCCCTTAAGTAACGATGTCGGCAGCGGATCGCTGGCACACTGCAGTTGTGACATCGTCAGTTGTAACGCATGCGAATTCTTGGAGCACTTAGTCGAACGGTCACGGCGCAAATGTTGCCGGCGGAGCATCCGCTGACTCCGAAATTTTGGTTTTCAAAAACTGCTTGGAATTCCTCCACGCTTACGTCACCCGAAGCATCTGTATGACTTCTTCTCATGAGCTTATCCAGCAAACGTCACAGCGCTCGAATGTCGCTGCGTTGGGCGTCGACTCTGGCGCAAAAGTGACACTTTTTTTAAATAGAAGAAGGTCGACATAACTGCACCGCGCATCTTGCAGCGGTCATTCAAATGTCGCAAGACAAATGGTCATTCTACCCGGAGATAGTTTATTTTCGGTCGTTTTCGTTTTTCTTAGTGCAGGAAATACAAAGATCAGAGATTGCATCATTTGTGGAGCAGGTAGCATTCTTACTGTGTTAGTTTCGCTTCTGGGGTGAACCATTCAGGAACATTTGTCAACTCGGGGTTGCCATGACGTCAATAAACGGAGTTTTTCATATTTTATCAGGGCATTTATATCATTGCAGCACACTTTATTTCATCTCAACGTTCTTTATTTCATTTTAGTTTGCTTATTTTATTTCAACACTGCAATTTTATATATTTTGAATAAGTCGGTCCTACACAACTTGCATAAAGAGAAGCTGATCTAAGACGTACTCTTTATCAAGCCTTTCAGCGCTGGTATATTCAAGTTTTATTATACTTCCTCATTTTACAATATTATTATCGCACCAAGTGTAGTTTAATTTGTACCTATTCAGCCCTACAAGAGTTAAAGGTTAAAGATGAAATTGCACAGCACTCAGGGCGTCTTACAAGAGCCATCTATCAAGCACGAGTTCCAAGTGCCAGACTTCAATGTTTATCAACACATGCGTGTGTATCTAACAGTTTTGATGTACTGTATTCTAGTTAAGAAATACACAGCTTGATTATAATTGAAGTTACAAATTGCCATCAACTGTAGTCAAAAGATGCTTAGATCTGCTATGTTACTGTTAAAACTATAAGTTCTTTATAATGCTGTTAAAAACTGCCGTGATTCGCTCCATTGTGATTAAAACAGTAAATCCGTTATAGTATTGTTAAAAACTGCCTAGATGGACTATAATATTGTTAAAACCCTATAAATTTATTAAAATTGCGTTAACATCTACCTTGGTTCACAACAATTCTACAATGACTGTAAATTATTGGTTACAATTCAGTTGTAAACTGCTCGTATTGGCTATAATGCCTTTAAAAGTGCGCGGCAAAAGCACGCACGGTGAATATGGCACGATACAATTATTTTTTAATGCCCACCCATGAATATCTTATCTCTTAGAATCAGTGAGAATCAATAATGTAACTTATTACTTAGAAAATCCTTACGAATCTCCTCCTCGAAAACATTGTGATATCCCTGCTTGAGGGCTGTAAGGCATAATAGATTAGGTTTAGGTTTTGTCACAACTGGTAATTACCCAACAAATTTCACGATATTACGAAGTCACGAAGCTTTGTGTAGACGTTACTCTATCTTAGATGAGGACTAAGCATGAATTTTGATTTATATATATTTAAATGACATTTATATACTCGATTATTAGCGCATAATAGTTTACACGCTTCTTTAATGGTCCTACTTTATCCTCGATTTCTCTTCATTTTCCAAATTTGTATGAACATCCAATCACTTGAATCTTTGTTTTAGCTTTATCCAGAAGCACAAGTCTGAATCTTTCTTATGTAAGTTACTGAACGATAAAAGCGACGTTAACTATCGACATTATGAATATCACGTATTTTTCCATTTTTTAATAAACGTGTTGACATTCCATCTTGGTATCACTCAATCCCTTGATTCATTTCCCGCGTCACTGCTCTGAATATTATAAAACCGCAAACTTTATGATCCAAAAACCAAAAACTATCCTACATACTCTTAGCTGTTAGTTACTTAATTTAACTCAGTTACTGCTTTTCAAGAGAAAACATTTTTTCAAATAATGTAGTTGTGCCGTATGTTAAGGATATACACGCTGACTCCTTGGTATAGAAGGCTTATTGGATCGGCAGCCTGTTTGTGCCAGGCAGGTTTCCTGCAACTCTCAAGCAGAGCTTTTATTGGTCGCACTACGCGTTATGTTTGATAAAATTCGAGTGATTGTAAGAATATGAAGATATGCTTCGACGCTCACCGGTGGACAGTCATTACTCCCAGTGATTTTCGCTTGCGCAACTGGTATTGTAATATCTTACAATATAAAAAAATATCTCGTCGTGGGCTGTATTCCTGAATTCTAACAGCAGGCTTAACTAGTGGCCACAAGGAAAGAGGCTAGTTGTTCCATTTAGTGCCGGTTGGTGTTCAAATTTGGTATTTTATGTCTGCGTTCCCACAAATGTCGATTCCAAAACGTTGTTGGATGTTTAGAGCCTTGAGTTCATCCTTTTTGCAGAAATAAAACATTTTCTGAGTTTTTAATGCTTCCGTTGAAACATTATTTATTAGCTAATATAAGCTGCAACTCCTCTTCCAAGCTGTAATAACGCTCAGGTTTTTTTTTCATAAGAACAGAAACAGTAATTTTTTCTGGAGCCCCGCAGTGCACCACCACCAATTTTGAAAAAGGTGTTACTTTTGTGGGCATTTCCGGTTGATCCGTCGAACTGGTATGAAGTGTTTTACTCTGCGAATGATTAGTGTTAACTTTTGAACACCTGGTACCAGAAATAGAACGAGCTATCTTGGCAATGCACCCGAAACTTTTGCACACTCCACAGTGTTAAGCTACACGAAGTATATTCAATATCATTCGCTATGAAAATGCAAGATAATCATCTTTCGCATACAAGATACGGGACATTCTTTCTAACGTTCTTGCTTACTTTATTCACTAATGCGTCTCATTTCACGATCATTACGAGAATCAGCCCTACGTTGACACTACTCTATTACTATTATAATGGCATGTTATTGTAGAGAGATGTAGAAGACTGGTTGGTACTTTGCCGAACGTATCTATTTCAAACTCAGAATTCTCTGCAGAGATTCATATTGTAAGATACACCAGTAATAAATCATAAGCATATTACTATTGCTCGTTCATTCCTGCAATTTAATAGCTACAATTTTATTATTTGAGTGGCTCACAAAAAACTATAATATCTTCTTCATACGCAGCAATTTCAAGTCTCAGAGTGAAAGAATGGTCTTTTACCGCAACATTATGTAAGGTAGGTGATGGCATTTCTCCCTAGTAGATTCCATGTATATCTGCTGCTCACATGCGTTGGGTTAGACTAAAGTTTCCAGTCAAGAAACCCATAAATTTTTCATCGCGAATTTTATTCAGTTTACTTCACTTCAAGTTCACACATCGTAAAGTGTTCAGTAAAGCATATGAGTAAGTTTCGAGCTCGTGAACATTGATCGGTGTCTGAAATATCACATTGATCGATTTACCGCGATCTGGTAATATATTTTCTAAACGATATGCCGTATATTTACGAAGGGATCATCCGATAAGCAGCATATGATCATTCAAGTGCGCACCCGTCGCTCTGCATGAACAAGCAA